TTTTCAGTCACTGGTTTCGGAGCACAGAAGCTTCCTGAGGGCCATCCTGGGCTACAACCTGCTTCAGAAGATGCTCCTGGAGAGATAGACATTACTGCGGGTTTTAACAATGCTGGGCGGACGACAGCGACGTTCACACCTCAAAGACAACCATCAGTTTCAAGCAGGGCATAGGATGAAACTTTGCCTTGCAGAACAAGCAAAGGGTTGAAAACAGAACCAACACACGTACGTTCTCTGGAGGCGTATCAAGGTCGATTGTATAAGGGACCATTCATGGAGGAGATACCAAACGCTGTTTATTGATTGTGACGAAGAGTATTGTACAGCGGGATCTGGAAGGCTTTGCTTTTGTATGAGATAACAATAATGTTTATGAGTCTCCCATATCAAAGGAACCTGGCAAAGTATAGGGTATAGGTAAGGTAGTCTACCAGTCATCCATGCCTCGGAATTACCTAGTCAAGGGTCACATGCGGTGGGGGGCCACGCCGAGGTTGGCCTATGACGTCGTGAATGTGATAGCGCGCGTCGCTCATCATCATCGCGGTCCCGTCCTGGACAGAGCAGGGCTACTTGGATGCGGCTCAACATCCATGTTGCCTCGCTCGAGACTCTTCTTTCACATCATGCACGTGCCTGTGCTCGTGCCTTTTAGCTATCATCATTTCGTCTCGCGGCATTGATGAGCATTCTCAGCATCTTGATCTTGTTACAATGTCGTCTCAGCAGGCTCTCAATGCCCTTGGCCACGCCGTATCTGGCTCTGTAGGGACAGCCATATCAACAGCATCTCTGTACCCATTGGACCTGGTTACCACTCGTCTCAAGGCGCAGCGAAAGACGGGAGGCTCCAAAGGCGACTACGATGGTGTCATTTCAGCTTTCAAAGGCATCCCTGCCAACGAGGGAGGGATCAAGGCACTGTACAGTGGACTGGGAACAGATGTGGCCAAGTCGGTCGTGGACAGTTTTCTATTCTTTGGATTCTACAACTACCTACGCCATCGACATGGCAAACCTAAGATTGTCCAAGAGCTTCTTGTGGGCGCCGTCGCCGGAGGGTGCGCCCGGGCCCTCACCACCCCCATTTCGAATGTTGTCACGAGGAAGCAGATGCTAGGGAGTGATCAGTCGCTTCTGCAGATTCTCTCCGAGATTCGGAAAGAAAACGGATTGCTAGGTCTCTGGTCTGGCTACTCGGCTACCCTGATGCTCACTCTGAATCCCAGCATTACCTTCTTTGTCAATCGACGGCTGGCTGCACGTATTTTGCCAGCCCTCGAAGAAGAGGACTTTCCAGTGGCATGGATCGCCTTCTTGATTGCCGCCTCGAGCAAAGCTACTGCCACTGCCATCACATATCCTTTCCAGACGGGCAAGACGCGTCTTCAAATGGCGAGTAGCGCGGCGGATGCTGATGTGGAGAAAGGGCAGAGCGGGATCTCGAAGCGTAAGCATATACTGCGGAGGATGCTTGACCTTCTCAATCAGTCCATATTTGGCGTCATTATTCGCATCATTACCAACGAGGGTATGAAGGCACTCTACGCTGGACTTCAGGGAGAGCTCCTCAAGAGCTTCTTCAGTCACGGTTTGACAATGCTCACCAAGGGCGTTATTCATCGGTTTGTTGTTCGTGTATGGATGATGATGCTGTTGCCCTATTTGCGACAGCGAAAGCTGCGGATGAAGTGATGGGGTGTGGTTCAATGCGAGAGTCTCAACATTGGAAAGCGACGCTTGATCGCTCCACGGTGTTTCCTCCGTGAGCAGAAAAGCCTGTCCCTTCGGACTGGAGGGCTATCAAGCCAGGTATCGAAGAGCCAGGGGCGGTATCTGTCTTGTGTGACTTGGAAGTCAGAGGTACGTCGCAGACGTAGCAGGTCAGGGGTGGGACATCCTCAGCAGATGTCCTTTTGGACGATGGGATCATGAACTGTTTAACACAACTGTGACACAAAACATGACCACATTCTCTGGTCATCATGGGATTGGAGGCGTTTGTGAGCATCTTTAAGCATGACGGGCAAGTTCTCTGTTTGCCCTTTGACGTCTCCTCTTCGTTGAAGTTGATTGTGATGAGGTTTTGCATGGTGATAGGGTGGGGGCTGTCAGGTGCAGATGCTGGACATGTTGGTACGGTCTTGTCTTTCTTCGCAACTGGTGGGAGTTTGCTGGATTGGGCGTCTGGTGTAAGCGATGGAGTCCAGAATGATGGGAGATGAGGTTTCGCAGCCTGTACAATAGGGAGTTAAGTTAATACGGAATACTACACCATTGTAGGGTTGAGATTCCTACCTTTTCCTCTTCCAGCGCTCTCCTGGCTTTGGCCCTGTCCTCGAGCGCAATGCGATCCAGTTCATCTTTGTCGAGTTCAAACTTACGCTTCGTACCTCCTACTACCAAAGCCTGCGAGTTCGAATCGCTGATTGTCGCATCCACCTTTTCATCTTCGGTCTTGGCTACCTTTGGCTTATTCTTGCGATCGAGACCAGCCTGCGTCAACTCAAAGTCTTGGATGGCGCGCTCGCGATCCAGTTCATCCTCGTGCGCTTTCTGCCTAGCGGCCTCTTCCCCAGCAGCGGCGCGTGCCTTGAGGGCGCGTTTGATTTCCTTCTTCTGCGTGAGTATGTTGGATAGTGCGCATTCGCGGCAGAATATATCGCCGCGTCGACATGAGACGGGTTCGCGGGCAATGTTGAGACACAGGCCACATGAGCCAAACGGGAGGAACGAGTCGCGGTGAAGGCGAGCGGACGAAGACGACCAGTGGGATTTGGCGAGGGCGCGTTCGTGAGAGGTGAAGACTGGACGGGAGGTGTTTCGTTTACCTGGTTGATTGACCAATTGGTAAGACAACCGCCGTTGTGATGGTATCATGAGGAACGAACGTACTGTGTGCTAATACCATGACGATATCTGGCTCGGAGGAGCTCGCTCTGCTGTCGTTGATAGAAGCTGGTGGAGGATTGTTCTATGCCGCAGCGTCTTGAAGGTCGTGCTCGTAAGTATGAGTTCAATGTGGTTGGGAAAGGCCAGGAACGACAATGGCAAATTTAAAGTGATGGATGTCTAATAGAAAGTTGAGGTAGACGTATGTAGTCCACTTAACTTTTATTCTAGTTCCATGCGATACAACCCCAACACATGCCTTACCTTAGCAGGCACCCGACACCATGTCATTTCTACAGGGTAAGCAAACAGGGAAAAAGTTGGAGGTGGGTCTACTATGAGCCGCTTCTCTCCCATCAAATACTGGTACTTATACGTATAAAGCACTTGTCTAGGTACTCAACGGATGCTCCTGTTTCGATATTGTCTCTTTTTTATAATGCCAATTTGACATCTTCTCAAGACTGTCGTTACCATGTCAGATTCAGATCCTCCTGCGCAACCAAGTCTGCCATGGCGCATTGCATCGGCGAGTGTCATGGGATCAGTTGGCGTATTCGCCAGAGTGTTTATGAACGGCTTCAATACCCTCGAAGTCACAGGCCTTGAAGGGCTTCTGGGCGTCCTTGACCGTAGGAAAAGGGAAGGGCGTGAGCGCGGGCTGCTCACAGTGTGCAACCATGTAGCAGTGTATGCCATGCCATGTCAATCCAACGCTACGTACGGCTCATGCTAATCATCTATAATATATATATATAGACTTGACGACCCTCTTATTTGGGGCATGCTACCAATGCGGTACTTCTTTGATGCAGTCAACATGAGATGGGGTCTTGGGGCACATGACATATGTTTCAAGAATAAGTGAGTATTCAAGATCAGCAAATGAGAGTGACTGACAACCCAAATCAATAACAGGGCCACTTCGACATTCTTCAGTCTCGGTCAGGTTTTGCCTACTCACAGATTATGGTACTCTCCTTATGGTGGTCTATATCAGCCAACCATGACACAAGCTATCAAGCTGCTGTCAGGCCCATCACCGGCTTCATGGTCTACAGCCTCTGACTCCCCCCTCTCTGCAACTCCTGCTTCAACAAGACCTCCTCCGGTTCCTCAACCGCTCTTCTTCTCCACCAACGGTGTCGATCAATTTCCAGCACCGCCTGCCTACTCAGCCTATCGAAATGCCTGGGTTCATGTCTTTCCAGAGGCTTGTTGTCACCAAAGCCCGGAAAGCGGGCTGCGCTACTTCAAATGGGGTGTATCTCGCCTGATCCTCGAATCTGACCCGGCTCCCGAGTTCATCCCCATGTTCGTCCATGGCACCCAGCACATCATGGCCGAGGATAGAGGATGGCCTAGGTGGGCGCCCCGTGTTGGCAAGACGGTCAAGATAGTGATAGGCGAACCGACCGACGTTGATCAGCTCTTCGGTCCGCAGCGGGTAGCATGGCGCAAGCTCGTTGCGAAAGGCGACCCAGAACTACTCCGGAATAGCCCAGAGGCTACTGAGTTGAGAATATCGGTGGCCAGAAGAGTGAGAGACGAGGTCGAGAAACTGAGAGAAAGCGCAGGCTTCCCTGCAGAAAAGGACGAAGCACCAGCTCTCGCGGAAACATGGGCCAAAGATCCTCTCCGCACAAAATTCAAGAGCCCGGTCGATGGTAGTCTTGTCAACAGACACGGGCCAAAGGAACACCCATGAGTATGTATTCAAGTCATACATCTCGCTCTCGTAGAATTATAGACTAAAACTAGGAGGGTCAACCCCCCAACACCCTGAGACTCAAGGCACTCACTCATACTGAACATCGGTTGTTGACAGGAATAAAAGAAAAAGAATAATAAATGACGAATCAAGACACCGACACACGCTGCTGTCCCTAGATCCAATATCTCTCCTGTCCTGTCTAATTCATGCTGACCCCTTTAACTCCATCGTGCTGAGAAATAGTCGCCACGTAATATTATGGTATTTTCTTCTTTTGGTTTGCAGTGAGACGCTGTTACTGAGACAGCTCGATTCAAAAACGCTGTGATCATGACGCAGACAGACAAAACTAGAAATTTCTGTCTCTCGCCACCGGCGGCTGGGGCAAGTTCTAATACGCCTCGAAACCTTGGGTGGGAACAGCCTGGGGGTATCCGCGAGCCTGCGCTTGGAGAGCCTGCTGCTGAGGGTGCATCATAAGGTCGTTGAACCAAACGTGCTGAAGGGCATCATGGGCACTGATCCTCAGCTCTGGTCGAAGCTGTAGCATTCGCTGCAGCAGATCGATACCGTTGGGGTCAATCGCCGGGAGGATGTTTCGAAGATCTTGAGTGGCGTACATATGGAATGTAGGCTTGTACTCGGGGAACTGGGTGATGCCGGGCCAGGTACGCTCTGTCGGTGTTCCCATGATGCGGAAAATGCGGACGATCTGGTCTTCGTTTGTGGTTCCGGGGAACAGAGGTCGACCGGTAAACATCTCGGCCATGATGCAGCCCGCGGACCAGATGTCGATACTGGTGTTGTATGTTCGGCTGCCGAGAAGGACATCGGGGGCGCGGTACCATAGGGTGACGACCTCGTTGGAGAAGGTGTTGACGGGGATACCAAAGGCGCGGGCAAGGCCGAAATCGCCGAGCTTCAAAACGCCCTTGCTGTTGATGAGCAAGTTCTGGGGCTTGAGATCGCGGTGAAGGACGCGATTTTGGTGACAGAAGTCGATGCCCTTGAGGAGCTGGTACATGAAGGACTTGATGGTGGTAGGCTTGAGGGCGCCGCGATCACCATGAGTGTCCATGTACCTCTTCAGATCGCCGTCCATGTACTCAAAGACGAGCATGAGTTTGTTCTCGGTGTGGATAACATCGTGCAGTCCTACAATATTCTCGTGCTTGAGCTCCTTCATCAACGAAATCTCTCGGATGGCGGTCGAGGGTGTTCCCTCTTCGGAGTCGAGGTGGATTTCCTTGAGCGCTACAAGCTCTCCAGTCTGTCTGTTACGGCCCTTGAAGACGGTGGCATAGGTACCTTCACCGAGCTTCTCGAGCTGCTGGAACGAGCTGGGGTGTCGCTTTCCATCCATGTTGAGATTGAGGTTGAGGTTGAGGTTCAGGTGAGGGTACGAGATGGTATCAGTCCGAGGCGGGTAGAGTTTGAAAAGCGAACGAGGATGCGTGGGTATTGGCTGATAATGGCGTGTCACCGATTTCGACTTGGGGCGAGGATTGTCGATAATCTGCAGGTGAGAAAGATTATGCGAGTGGAGGGAGGCAGGGAAAGGGTTTTTGGCGGTGGCTATTGTTTGTTGCTATTTTTTGATATTTTGGGTTTGTTTTGTTGATGACTCACAAACTCTGCCCTTGACGATAGAGAGTATTTGGGGGTTCCGCCCTTCAGGTTGGCCTCACTTGTTTTTTATTTATTTAATCCTTTGGAGCCGTACCCTTGCTTGCGGTAGGTGACTTTGGAGGTGGATGGAGGGGGAAAAGGGAGGTGGGAATGTCTATAGGTACCTGAACAGTGGAGGCTCCTGGAAGGGTCCCGTCTCCTTGTGAGGGAGGGGTTGGAGGGATCGACAGAAGGGGAAAAGAGTCTGGAATTAATACTATTAAACCCGACACCTACTGGCAGTAGTCGGCCATTGGACCAAAGGTGTTGGTCAGCAGCAGAATACTTGGTGATCTGTAATATATAAGTTACTAGTAATATTCTTCACAGCTTGTGTTGAATATCCAGAGTATAAACTGAGTTAGATGTTATGAGTACTCATCGATATGGGTGCTTATAGCGGGTGTCGATCATGCCTCGAGCCCGTCACGGGGGCTTGTTAGTGCTATAGATTAAGTGCACGCGCACCTGGTACAATGGGCCCATGCACCCCCACCTACCGAGTATGGCATTTTACCCCATGAATCAATAACTAAGGTATGTATTTGTTGAGGCAACCTTACCTTATCATCCAACTGAGTTTGGACCTTTTAAAACAATCGTCATCGAGCTACCTAACACAATTCATTCATCCCGCGTTCACCGTGTTACTTGTTACCATCTACACTGCTTGCCCCTCGCTGTGTTACGCCTTCGAACGCAAAGTACATACCTTACGTACTCCTGTTCTCCTCCGAGGCGCCGTGACATGAACAAAGACAGCTTGCCCCTTATCGGAACTGCACCTTACCTTAGCACCCCTGTATAACCGTATAAGCACAGCACAGCACAGCACAGCACAGCACTCCAACCACTTACAACAATGAGGCCTGTCTTGCCTACGAACCATCCTCTCAACACTCGGTCCTCAGACCGGCCTGACAGCTTGGTACGCCCTTCTTCGGCTGTACCTGCTGCCTGTTTCATCACCACAGAGGCCGACCTTGACGCTCGCCGAGATCGCTCCCGTCCGCGGTTCCGCCAGCAAAGCGATCGGCGCAAGTGTAGTCGTAACTCGCGCCGGCCTTCAACCCCGCGTCAACGACGTTCGCCTCCTCGTACCGGCCGTAAGCCTGCGTATCTCGCATCGGAGTCTGACGGTTCCGATTCAGACGATTCTTCGGTTGAATCTGTTGTCGAACAAGAGCCCTCGAATTTACCGTCGCAGCCAAGCACTCCGTCTCTGATCGGTCTTTCGCATTCTGGTTCTGTCATGAGCATCTCGTCGCAAAGCTGCTCCCTAGCAGGTCCCTCCATCGACGCCCACAGCGACTTGATCCATGATGATGTCTCCTTACCCGTAACAGATCTGGCAGATAATCCGGAAAACCAAGGCACGATTCCCCAGCTTATCATGCCGAGCTTGATGGTTCCACGACGTCGTCCTTTCTCGGAAGTGGGTAAATCTTTGGGCAAGTTAAAGATCATGGTCGCTGGGCAATGCGGTAAGTACATCAACAGAATACCCATCAGTGACGGTCTTAACGAACGACTTCAATAGGTATTGGGAAAACTTCTCTCATCAAGACTCTGGCAGAACGTTGCGAGCACATCGTTCACATGGATCCGATAGAGAATCGTAGTGCGGTGCATGCTACTGAAACATATGCCAGCTCGCGCCCACAGCCTTGGTGGCGATCTGACTCCGAACTCGCCCTGACAACACGGAGGCGGATTTCTACCACCGGTGATGTCCTTGATAGGAATGTATGCTTTGTTGAAAGCCCAGGCCACCAACAAGGTGCCTCCGTACGTACCTGAATCACCCGCATCAGATCGTCGTATCCTAACAATAACTCAGGGCTCGTGGCGTGATCTCCATTATGTCGAATCTTACTTGGCATCTCTGATGAATAAGCCCATGGCTGATTCGGATCTGTTCACCTTGGTCAACTCTGGCGGCGAGCCAATTGTGGACGCTCTGCTCTACCTTATTCCTCACAGCGGTAGGTTCATCCAGTTTCGTTAGACCGCCACGTTTGCTAATGAGTTCCAGGCCTTGTACGAGAGGATGTCGAGTACATTAAGCGCGCTCAGCGCATGACTAACGTAATCCCAGTTCTTACTAGGGTTGACGAGCTTGCACCAGAGGAAATCAAGCATATCAAACAGCAAGTTGTGAAGAGTCTGGCTGATAAGGATGTTGATTACTTCTCCTTTGCGGGGCCTGACGACTCAGAGGAGACTAATTGTGTATATGCCGTTTCCACCGAATCTCGGCCGGACTACGATACCATGGACGCCAGTACTCTCATGGACTCGGAATACATCCCGCCGCTTTTGCCTACAGATCTGAGCAGACTCGTCGACCACGTCTTTTCTCTGGACGGTAGCGCTCGATTACGGCACTCTGCAGCAATGAAATGTATCAAATGGAGACGTGATCACGGGGATAACTTGCTTCAAAATGCCTTGTCAAGCAGAGCCTTGGTGTCTCGATCTATTCCCGAGCGGGCCATGAGATTGAGGTCCTTCAGGCGAACCCCGAGCTGGGATAGGCTGGAGCTCTATAACTGGGCGAACAACCTGCGCCAGAGTCTTCAATCCGAGAGATTATACCATCTGATGGAAGAGAGGGCCATTTCAAACGCTGTGGCGAAGCAGTCGAGTCTAGTCCACGTCCCCAGCAACGGCAAGAAAAAGACGCAGTCCAAGAAACGGAAAGCTTCTCAACCTACACACCAGGACCCACTCGGCCTCTTGGAGATGGGGGGAGGTCTCAAGCAGAAAGGGATGCTGGCCCTAGAAATGGTGAGCAGTGTTGGCCTGGTTGGTTTGGTAGCTTCCAAGATCATGCACACTGGCTGGTCTGACGGGATGTGTTCTGTTGTTGCATCACGAAGAAGAAACATAGAGGTTGGACGGCTGAGCATGGTCTTGTCTTTCTAGACGGCGAAACATGTACGGACCACTGCCATCGTCTTTGCTTCGCCATTATGCTCTCATCCAAAGGCCAGGACAAGAGACGGGTTCGAGTATTGTTCGAGTACTGGAGCAATATGTCATGACACAAGATACCCCATAAACATCACACAAATATATTAATTGGACATTGATGGTCCCTATCTTGCGAATGGTGGTGACAGTGGTGCTTAGTATTGACACATGACAGCCCCGTTCTGGGGGGGTTATGTATGCGCACTGAGATAGGTTCAACCGCTTCACTTAGTAGTTCTACTAGTGCTCATGCCTTGAGTGGCGCTTCTTCCCAGGGGGTGGATGTCCAAGCGCAGTCATGGCAGCGTTGAGATCCGGCATATCATCAGCAGTTCTCGCCACATGAGCCCAGCGAATAGTTCCGTCTCGATCAACAGCAAAGGCACCGCTCGTCTGCCACCGCGAGCCACTCTCAGTTGGTCGATTCCAGATGCCCTCATTCTTTCCAAGGCTGAAGACGTTCCACAACGTGAGAGGGTTAACGGCGTGCCATGTTGATGATATTCCGAGGCCCCATTTGGCATACAAGTCGCGCTCTTCATCAATCACAACATCGACGTTCCAGGTGCCGCCGACGAGGGGCAGCCAGCTGTCTGTTGCCTCTTCTGAAGAGTGCGAGATGGCGACACAATGGACCCCTGGGACCTTATCGGATAGGTCGGCGAGAGCTCTGAATGTCTTTTCAGCGACTGCGGTCAGTTAGCATCAGATCGTACGAAAGGGATGATAAGGAATAAATTACAGGGGCATCCACAATGACGGAGAAACACCACGAGAGTAGGTTTTCCGTCTGGAAGGCGAAGGTGTTGAGACCAGGGCGCTTTGGATCCAACCTCGACTGTAGGGCCGACCTCCTTAGCCACGGGTGTCTTCCATGAGTCGAGTTCTTTCCAGAAGCCGGCATTAGCCTTGGCATCAACAGCAGCGGTTTCTTGTGACATGATGAGGCAGTAACGTTATTGTTATGGTGTGTTATGATATGAGTATTTCAAAGCTCCAAATGTCTGTCTCGTGATATTAGAGCAAGGGAGGTTGCTACGTATAAGTGCGACCAACCATTTTGTCAATGACATAATACACTCACTCACACTCATACCCACACACATACATATACTCTCACCAACGTATATGCCCGACATGCAAAGAAGAATGAGATGTAATACACTGATCTATTTAGATATTCTACTCAATCGATATAATGTACCTCTCTAGTTAATACTTGATCGAGTTCCCTAAACGATGATTAGATAAGCTGCTTAGGGTGTCACCAGATAGAGACAAATGCCTTACCCACTATATTCGTGTAGGGTAGGTTGTCGCCGATGTCTCCATCCATCAAGACTTCGCAGTTGAACTTTGACACTTCGCATTTCTACACGCAGATTTGGTCTCTGATTACATCAACTGTCCTTGTCATACATAAAACAGACATACAAAAGCTCATTTAGGATCAGGGTCCCAAAATGCGTGAAATCATCAGTCTTCAGCTCGGTCAGCTGAGTAACTATACAGCCACTCACTTCTGGAACGCCCAGGTACTATCAGTATTACAGCTCATGCACAAAAACACAATCACTCACCTTAGCGTAGGAGTCATACTTTACATACTCAGCCGACGAAAAGTCGCCCATAGATCACAATGTTCATTGGCGGGCCGGTCTAGGTGCTGACGGCTCAGAAACATTTCTCCCACGAACAGTTATATATGATCTCAAAGGCGGGTTTGGCTCTTTACGCAAGATTAATGCGCTGTATGAAGCTGAAGCTGAACCAGATCCTGCGGAATTATGGTAGGGACTCCTATTGATCATCCTGTCGGCCAGAACCCATGCCAACTAACACCCTCTCAGGTCAGGTCAATCAGTTGTTCACAAACAGGCACCCATCAATCCAAGCGAGTACCAGCAGAGCCTCGATGCAGGCACTGAACCGGCACAACTAACAACCTCGAATGTGAGATACTGGTCCGATTTCTCACGAGTTTACTTCCATCCACGTTCACTGGTCCAGCTCTATGACTTTGAGCTCAACTCGACAACCATGCCCTTTGAGCGTTTCTCAATGGGCACAGAGCTCTTCTCGATGCTCGACAAGGAGCACGATCTTGTGGATCGAGACTTCAGGCCCTTTGCAGAAGAGTGTGACAGGATGCAGGGAATACAGGTCTTTACTACTATCGATGATGCATGGGGTGGCTATGCATCCGCATATCTCGAGTCCTTGAGGGATGAATTCCCAAAGACAACCATATGGACCTGGGGTCTTCAGAGTCCCTTGCTTGATATTCCCAGATCAAAGCGCCAACTACGCCTTACGAACATCGCTCACAGCATCGAACAGCTCTGCACACAGACAACGACAGTTGTTCCTATGGCTTTACCCGAAGAGGACCTGTCAGCTGGCGTATCGTTGGATCGCCGCTCACCCTGGCACACATCTGCTGCCATGGCCGCAGCTATCGAAACAGCCACCTTGCCTACACGTCTGGTAGGAGGCTCTTCGGGACAGCCAAGTTCTCTAGACGACCTGGCTGAGAGTCTGAACGTCAATGGCAATCAGCCTTTGGCCAGCATCAACATGTCCTTGGCATCTGAGAAAGACTCACCGGAAGAAAGCCGCATCAACGTCGACTTCTTCCAAATAGGGCGGACATGGAGCCGACAGCATATTGCTAGGTCAGATGCCCATAAGCATGTCTTTGGTGAACTCCGATCTTATCGAGACCTGGAACCCCTCGGGAACATTGAAGAAGACGCTCCTGGACATCTTGCTCCAGGTGAACGCCCCGTGATAGGCAATTCGGTTGTGCGCAAGTACGTTACTGTCTAGACCATGTGACTTGCTAAGTACTAATTCTCAACTAGATATGATTCATCCCTCAGATTCCCGTTACTGGACGCCTACCCTCAGATCTATCCTCATCTCAGAAGCCATCCTGATGCCAGCATGCAAACCACGCTCTCCACAAATAGCTCACTGGTGCAACGGATCAGAAATTTGAGGTCAGACTCTGCTCGACTTGTGCCAGTCAACGAAAGAGAGGATCTTGGTAACGGATTGGCAGAATTGGCGGATGCTTACCAAGAAGGCTGGTTCAGTGGCAGTGATGATGATGACGACGACCTATGATAGGTTTGATAGACATAGTCATCCAATCGAAATAGAGTCGAGCAATCTCGGGCGCCATTCACATCTCAGGAATACGCGTGACAAAAACAAGAAGCGGTTTGGAGCAAATCTCCTGAGGCTCATCGAGCCTCAAAAAGTTTGTATTGATCTAGCATGGCCATTTCCTAGGTACAGATATAATATGAGGTTGCTGGAGGTCTTTAACGTTATCGACCCGGCGACTAGACAACTCCCAGTTTGGAGATATGTTGCTGTGAAGCACAACATGTTGATTTGGCCAGCTGCCCTTCCCGCACTACTACGTGCCTCTCTCTCTCTCTCTTTCTGCTGTTATTAATGTAGATTATTCAATCTTCCAATCGCAAATAACGCCGCCAGTAATGCATTAACACATCAGGCTGGCACTGCCAACTTACTATGGTAGTTGATGCAGTTCAGTCTGGTTGAAAGCGAACTTTTTTGTTTATCTTATGTTAGTTACGTGATCAGCCACATGCCAATCGTCCAGCCACTTATGGACTTGCCGATATTCTTGATGTTTTTGGGTTTTAATATAGTGCAAGATGCACAATTGAGTTGTGGTCAAGCTCTTCCGAGCCAAGCTTTGTGTGGAATGCGAAGTATGCTATCATGCTCAACCTGCGGCGGCAACCGAAGCTTGCTGTCTCTTCGCTGGGGGAGGATTCTCCTATACAAGGATTAGTATACCCTAGCTGGGAGTGAGGTGCCATCTGGAACAGCGCATCTTGGCCGGCAATGGGAATTCGCCCGGTGATGCTTAAATACCTCTGGGGGGCCCCGTTTCTTGCCGTTGACTGAGCCCTTAGCTGCAGCCTTCTTCTGGGGTTTCTTCTCGCCGTCGTCGAATACATCGTCTGGTAAGTTGAAGCTGTGCGGGTCAAAGTCAGCCGGCCAAGGTGCATTGATGTCTGGAAGCTTCTGCTGAACTCACTTTCGGACATGTTGAACACCAATAGAGACGTCATCTTTCAGATCATCCTTGTACTTCTGCCACGAGGTGCAAAGTTCCTTGAACTCATCAACCTGGTAAGAAAGATCAAGTGATTTGGCGCCTGTTGAGTCAGTATTGGAAAATCTCAAACGCCGGAGAACCGCGAAAACATGTCAGGCTGTATACATACCAGAAGCCAACTCGAGGCCAATATAGTGAGTAGTTGTGTAGATGTCGGATGGGCCGCTTGCCGTCGTAGTGTCTGTTGGTTTGGACTCATCCGGTGTCTCAGGTTTGACAGGCACGGCTGTGATAGGACCAGTCTCTTCTGTGGGCTCAGGCTTAACAACTGGATCATTCTCACCGTTCTCGGTCTTGACCTGTTCGTCGCCTTGACCATTCTCAGACTTGATAGGCAGGCCATTCCCCCCGTTTTCAGCCTTGATTGGTAGCTCTGCGACTGCGGGCTCAATCTTGACAGCAGTAGTGTGCCCGGCGTCTTCTTTACATAGATAGTCGAGGCTCCCTTCCTGCACAGCCTCGATCTCTTCCTGATTGTGACATCGGTGTTGTCTTTCATAGCCCTTGTTGAAGGCATGAGCTAGAGCAATGGACTGGTGTTGCTCAAGTTTCTGCACTAACATTCGAACCTTGGACTCAACATAACCAGACCAGATCGTGTGGGCCTCCTTTGTCTTCGCTGCTGAGGTAACAGAGATGTAGTACTTGTACCCTGCGGTGAAGAAGGTATGCTTGACAAAAAGATCGCTCCAGGGGCGCTTGCCCACCATGATGCTCTCAGATATCTGAAGAGCCCGCTTAAGTTCTCGGTTGATAATCGCCATTGACGAACGAGTAATGTTGAAAGTAGCACACATGGATGGATACGCAGGAGTAATGACGGGCATTAGATGATAGGTATCACCCTTGTAGAGCTGCGGAAGCAGGATTAGCACTATGCGCAGTGAAAGCGCATGCAGCTAGACGTACCTTGGGGTTCCAGATTCGAACAGGAAGAGGCCCACCCTCAATGGGCTTGAGGAGAACGGGTTGCGGCCAGCGCCATTGGCTAATAACCAAAAAGAACTTGTTAACAATCACCGAGAACGTAGCCTTTGGGTAGAGCTGGCAGACGCGTGCGACGAGCATGGCCCAAGCAACACCACCAGGGAAACCCATGATGTTGGCGTAGACAGCACGCCGTTGCGCCCACAGCTTGATGGCTCGCAAAGCATTCTTGAATGTGCTCTGTTCGGGGACTAGCGTGAGGATCTCGTCCGTTACTCGTGTGCCGTTGAGAGATCGCAGCTCTGCCTCATCCAGGCCGCGCAGCAGGCCGGAGTCTTTGAGGTCTTTGAAATCGGGAGATAGCTGCTTCTGAATAACCCTAGAAAAGATCAAATCAATGCTTATGCCAGAGTACTCAAACTTGATGATGGGTACGAAAGCATCAGTCACGACAGCCATGTCAGTGATGGCATCTTTGGGGGCCATCGAGAGGAGCAGATCTGGGAAGAACTTGAAGTAATCCTCGCGGGTCACGTATTTCGGCGCGACGATGAGAGTGTCAATATCAGAGCCGGGGCCGTAGACGCCGAGGCGATAACTGCCGTAAGTGAAGACTTTGCCCCTCGCATTCCGTATGAGGACCTCGTTCTTGGGTTCTTTCTCCTGGGCGACTCGACGGACGAACGCATCGCAAATGGTTTGGATCGAGGCTAGGACTTCTTCTCTGGAACAAGTTTGTTAGTTCCTGACACGCTCACGCGACAGATTTATTGGCATTCACCTCTTGGCAGTCTCTGCGGGACTCTCGAAGGTCTTTTGACGCTTCAATTCTTCCAGGAGAGCGTCCGATTGTCGCAGCTCGGCTTCCGTTGGGAGTTGAACGGAAATGGGAGGCGTCACGCCGTAAGCCTGTTCAGATGCCATAGTTTCAATGTATCCAAACGTCGGAATGGGGGAGGAGGAGGAGGAGGAGGGGAGGGAAGCTGAACGACAGTGGTTGGGTCACCACCAACCCGAGGCCGGGGAGGATCGCAAATCCCAATGCGACAGGATGATAGCCGAGTCAACAAATGGTTGTTTGCTGAAAAGAATGCGCTGGGTTTTCAAGCCTCTCCAAGGGCAGTGGGAGCAGCGCAAGGGAGAGGCCAGGCCAGGCCAGGCAAGGCACAGACAGGACAGGGCAAGAGGGTGCTCTGCGTCCGGTATGGAGACGAATATTGGGGATGGCTGGATCGGAGAGGTAAGGGATGGATCGTAAAGGATATCGAGTGCATTCGCTGGGTGATGAAGATCCCAAGTTTTTTCTTACTACTTGGTAGGTAATGAAGGAGAATTAGAACTTTTGGCTGACTACTACGAGGCGCCGCGAGGCTGCACAAACGCGGTGGTGGCCCAGAAGCTGGATTGGGTGGAGGTAGTTGAAACAGTGGATCCTGGCTAAGGCACTTAAGTAACTTGGTACTGAGGCACCCTAAACCGGGGGGGTTGAGTTCTTATTGCTGGCTTTTATCTGTGGGTTTGAGCGGAATTAAACGGGCAATTTTTTATCTGTTAACTGTGGCTGAATGAAGGCATTGAATCACGTTGCTCAAGCATTGCAGTGCTTGAATAAGTGGTTAGAGGTACTTGCTTATTAAGAAACAGACAAAGTGACAGCTGCAAGGAAAACCTCCACTATTATTGATTCATGGTTGGCAATATCCGTACCCTAGCGCTAAACAAAACCAGAGTTGAATTATTTATAAATCAGTAAATAAGAGACATTCAGTCAGTCAGTCAGTCAGTCAGTCAGTTAGTGAAGGGCGAGGCGGGATTGGGCTAGGTTACTCGAGGTTACACATTGCATTCATCGTATTGCATCTCTGGTCGTCATATTTTCACGAACAAACACCATACAATACCTATTCACTTATCAGGATAGTGAGTGCCCTTCCCCTGAGACGCACGCAAGACATTGAGTTGAGTTAGGTAGTACTACTAGACCAGGGGGGGTACAGTACGGCAAGATGCAAGTCAAGCCACTAAACTCTACTTTTTTCTAAGGGAAAAATAAAGATTTAGATATAGGAATGTCAAGACAAAGAATAACACTGTCTGACTGTCTCTCTTGCAGAATACTACAGCCCCATCATGAGAATTAAGAAAAGAAATGTCATCTTCACTTTTCTTTCCCTTCAACTCATGACATTAGATGTACGAGATCCAACTATTCGCCGGGCTTGTTTCCCAATCGCCAATGACGCCCACACACGCTAGTGATCACTGATGGCCCCCCTTACAGCACTGTCAGCCCCCTTGTCTGCTGATTTATGGCGCCTCTGATTCACTCAACGGGGCTCGAATATGCACGAATCGGTACACCAGGCCCACACCAGCACCAGCAGCATCCCAGCCAAGGCCAGAGCCCACAAGCCCAGCCCAGCCCTGCCACTTTACGACACTAACTACTAGGTACCTACCAGGTAGGTCAATCCTAACGCGAACGCGGTACCAACTTTAAAGGGCAGGGCATTTATTTGCTGCACTAGTAGACGATACATTCATTGATTGACGACACGACTTTACTTGACCTGATTATTTCGTATTCCCACGTCAGTCCTCGAGGACACCAAAACGAAACACGCCCTGCCCTGCGACCTCAAGATAACGACAAAACCTCGACCTTGCCGTCTTTCGTTCCGTCGTTGCAGCGTAGGAGTGAGTGCACAGCTGCTTGCCCGCCATGCCACCGTCGGCAAAGAGAGCCTCTAGGGCTCGTCGCGAACCGCGTAAAGCCGCGACCTCCAACGCAGATACATCACCAGGCGACGTCGAAGATTCCTCACCCAGTCGTCCAGCCAAGCGTCGTAAGAAGGTCCGTTATCTTGTCTGTCGTTCGTTCCATTGCCCGCGGCAGCTGACATTGATCTTCCCGAGCAGGTCCAGGAAGATGAAGACCCTCCCGCGCCCAACGACGATCAACTCGTGTCGCAAATCACACAGCATCTCAGAAGTCAGGAAGTCCAGGCCAGCAAGGATCACGCAAATGTCATACACGAGGCCAAGGGCGATGGCGTGAAAGCCTACGCCAAAGTGGCTGCCCAGGACTGGACCTTTTATATCACCAAGCTCAACGTTAACATAGGCCGAGCTCCAGAGACGTCACATAGCTCTCAGACCCTGGGCTCCGACGAAGACGAGTCCTACATCCACATCGACTTGGGCCCTAGCAAGATGGTATCGCGAGAGCATGCCACCATATCATTCGATTCCAAGGACGAGAAGTGGTTCCTGCATGTCAAAGGCCGCAACGGTGCTAAGGTGGACAGCCAGCCCGTCAAGGCTGGACAGGCTCATCCTCTCACAAGCGGCGAAGTCATCGAGATTGGAAATGTCGAGATGATGTTCGTGCTTCCGTCCGAGATAACTCCATTGACTGTGCATCCCATCTACTTGCAACGCGCTGGAGTCAGTGTTCATACACCACAATCACGTACTTCGCGCCGACAACCCCTCATTGCACCGGCGCCTCCGGAATACAAACGCCCGGGCACGCCGCCCTCGGCTCAGAGCACTGCCAAATCGCCGGCTGCAAGCACGCCGGCCGTCATGGTCGGTACCAATGGTGTAGATCTGAGCCAGGATGAGAACCAGCATATCAAGCCCCAGTATAGCTATGCTCAAATGATTACACAGGCGATCCTGAATGCACCTGACGGGAAGCTGAATCTGAACGGCATCTACACCTACATCATGAACACATACGCCTACTATCGCCATCAACAGGCTGCTGGCTGGCAGGTAAGTTCTCATGGCGGCTACCATACCTTGCTGGGCGGTATACTCACTCACACTCGACAGAACTCAATTCGTCATAACCTTTCACTGAACAAATCATTTGACAAGGTTGCCAGATTAACCGATGAGCCCGGCAAGGGAATGAAGTGGCAAATCGTCCCAGAAGCAAGAGAGGAGATGATAAAAAACGCCTATCGCGTTGGTCGAGGCGGTCATCGTGGTTCATCTGCCCCCTCATCTCCAAATCAACTTGCCTACATCACACATGGCCCAAGAGACATGGCCTCGAGAGAGCCTCCCTCAGCCCGCAGACGAAGAGCATCCCCTCCGGCATCACCACAGCCACCTGGTTCCTCTTTGCTCATTCCCCAGTCCACTCCTGATCGATCATTTGGCAGAAACGCAACCATGATGATTGATGGCAGCCCATTACCGCGTCCTAGGAAGACGCCAGCAAGAGACTCATCGTTTTCGGTGTACAACCCTCAGTCGCCCACGCTCACATCTTCATACCAGGAGGACGGAGGCTCATTCGTCACCCCAGCACCGCCCAGGATGCACCCTAAGCTTGCTCCTCCAAGCACAGCACAGAGACCAAGTCAACACATGCCCACCAGCTCACCTGCCCCTTTCTGGAAATACGCAGACATAGGCAGCACACCTTTGAAGCCTCTTGGTGGCTACGATGTCAGTCCTACCAAGGCTGGAGGTGTTCTCCCCCCGCAGAGTAGCAGTCCGCCAAGGGGAGACAAGTCGCCTCTCAGCAGCCCTTCTCGACCTCAAAAGTCAAGCCCACAGCCTATTGCTCAACCGGCAGAGGCCGAAGAGGAGCACGGCTTCGATTTAACAAAGTTTGTTTTCCCCGTGACTCGCTTGAGACTGAGCTAACATAATGACCCAGGGGGTTTCAGAGTATCGGTGCGTATCATGCTCCAGTTGGCGGAGGAGCTTCTATCTTGCAAGGCCGTACTTAGGCTTCCTTTTTACACTGGCGTTTTTTTTCAAGGGGGATCAGTCACGGAGCCATGAACTGTACTAAACTTCTGAGTACATGATGCTGTCGACCAAGGATGTTGACGGCACTTATGAATGCAACGCGCCAACGAAAAAAAAAAAAGCATCTCTCCTCGACTCGGGTATCTGCGTGACTGGGCGGTCTGCTCAACGAGTCACTCAATCTTATTAGACCTTTCCGCACCACTGGCGAATTCTCGTTCGACAGACAGACTCAAGAGCTCCAAGTGTGAACATGTTATATAAGAGTGAAGATCATCTGGCCAATGGCCTAGAACAGAGCCTTGGATATATACAAATGTTGAGAACGCGCCTTTTGATGCAAATACGTGTGATCGCACCACCGTGCCGCCAATCCTACCAAACCCAACCAATGCAAGGGCATTCTTTTTTTTCGTGACCAAGCCACCCAGCTCCCACATGAATCATAATGGAATTCCCATGCTTTTTGTTTCACCATCTACTTTTACACAGCGGTGAGTCAGAAACTCGACCACATAACAGCATCATAAAGAATTTCGTTGAATTGCCAACCTATCGCGCTCCGGCTTGGCCTCGCCTCTTAGGGTTTCCACGGCCAGTTCGCTTCTTGGTCTGCTGATGCTCACCACCCTCGATGAACTTGATAAGCTCGTCAATGCTGCGGGAGTCAACTTGTGAGCCAGGTCCCGCCCGACCGGGGACAGTAGCATTGGAAGCCGCCAAGCTCGAGGGATTGGTGGTAAACCGAACACCCGTTCGGAGTCTTCGAGCAGCAACATCCTTGGCATGCTTGGCAATGTTGACAGCATTCTGGGTGAGCTGCTCCAACCAGCTCTCGGCCTCCTTGGTGTTCTTGTCCTCAGGTCCAAGTTCAGCAAGGAAGACGTTGTAAGACTCTCGCATGCGAGTAACAGCCCCCTTTGAGTCGCGATCTAGAGCAAGAGCCTGAGCCAGCTGGAAGAGGAGGGTAGCAGAGTTGATCGACTGCTTGCCGAAAACAGACTCGCATACGCGCAGTGACTCCTCGAACCAGAGTCGTGACTCGTGGTAAGCCTTGAGGTTCTGGAGCATCACAGCAGCATTGTTGAGTGTTGTGATAGAATCAGGATGGTCAGGGCCATAAATGACCTTCCACATCTTGAGAGCGTGCT